ATGTATTTAGTACATTCGTCGCAGATATCGCTCTGTCGGCCTCAACCCCCAGTATTTCGCATATAAGACGAATGTGGGTACTCATGTCCATTTTGTTATGTTATAATAATATTTAAGTAAAAATATGTTATTTTCGTTGAAAAAATGTACAATTCATAATAAGAAAATGTCTTAAATAATTTTAATTTTAACAAAATAACTAAGTTAAGTTACAATTATTTATGAAATTAAATAACTTAGTTATAAACTGAGTTATTTTATAATATTCTATTTTATTTAACTAGGTAAGTTATCAAAAAAAGTAACTTATAACTTAACTTTTTAACTAATTACTGCCCATCTTTGGCTTAACTACAAAACCAATTAGTGTACGAAAGTATCACCGGCGACAGATGTGCATTTGAGTTTAAAAAGTGTTTTTTTTTACCACGTTTTCCTACATAATTGAATCGTATAATTTACCAATTGTCTTCTTCCACCGTAACATAATATAATATAATATAATATATAAAAAAGAACATTAAAGCATGACTATAATATATTTTTATCAACCAACTAGTATGTGTAGTACCTACTGTATAATATACATGTTATATTATAACATTTACCTTATTTAAAGGGATTTGAAACTCATCGTTTGTAAGGAGATATGTATAGGCAATAATAATAGGTTCCCGCGTATTTGTGTGCATAGCGATAACAAATAATAATTCGAGGGCTCGGATGTGTGTGCACTAAAATATTACCAAATATGCACTTAAAAATCGTTAAATTTACACTTTTATCTATAAACCTGTGTACAAAAAATAAAATATATATTAATACCTTCCTAATTAAAATTATTTAATTATTTACAAAAATTTTTTCATAATATATGAGAATTATAAGTAGGTACACAATACGCATTCCGCATGTATTTCGTTCAGTGAATACACCTAGAATATATTGTACGTATTTATGTACATAAAGTAATGTCATATCTAACCGTATAAATATTTTGGTTTGTAAAAAATATTATAGTTTATTTTTATGATAAATTATAATACAATAGTAGTTCGTTATAATTAACTGTAATATTTTACTAAGAGCACTACACTAGTACACCAGACTATTTTTTGAGCGAAATAGACTATGGACATTCCAACATAAGTACTGACTTGACTCAGATGATAATATTAAAACGTATTTAAGTTAGTTATGAAGGCTATTTTGAATTCTTCAAATTAGGTATAACAAGAAAAATGTAAAAATGTATTTTTTCCATTGAACTTTCAATAAATACTTGATTTTTTTTTTTTAATGTTAAGTCCAAATTTGTTTTAAAGTCGTTCGTATAAGATCTAAAGAGAACAAAACGAAGGGTTCAAAGCTAATTTGTATTATTTCGAGTAAAAGACAAGATTTTTGTTTAATTAGCATGTGGACTTATATGGTTGTTTATGAACTATGAATTAATTCACAGATAGTTTTTCCTACGACGTGTGTTTGATGTATAGATATTAGATACTAATACAAGGTTTTATCTTTTATGAGCGGCCTGTATATTATAAACAATTTCGAAGAATACCTGAGGTATAAAGTGAAGATGCTAAATTATGCCAATTATTTGAAGAATATTGTAGTGAAGTTTTCAAAACTCATGGTAAAATACTTACCTATTAGTTATTTGAATTATTCGCAATACATTTTTGAATAAAAAAAATGTTAAATATTTGAAGAATTTAAAACATTTTTAAAAATAAAATGATTATTTTACCATTTTTTTTTTTATTGCACCTCGCTTTATAAATCGATTTATAAATATGTTATGGCAAGGCCACTTTACCAAATTATATTTTAATCATCTTAAATTTCTAATAATCGATAGGTATATATATATATATATATGTATATATTACTTTTCATCAGCTAAATATATATTTTAACAAATTTGAAAAAATTATACTCAAGTGGCATCATTTATAATATTATATTATAAAATTATCTTGTTGCACTTATCGTTTCATCAAAGATGAATATAATGAAAATTAAAATTGTTTTATTAATCCTTGGAGATGACTTACATTCTTTTAGATTATGAGTGGAGCTATGAATGTATTGATTATACAACGATGTGTGTTTTTTTTTATTTTTTTATGTTTGTCATCACGGTTTGGGGCAGTAAAAAAGCTTCAATTTTCTTTAAAAGCAGCTTTTTTGGTAGGAAAGTGAATCTAGTTGGTGCATATTGATAAAGTACTTGCAAAATGTATAAAATGTTCAATTTATATAGCTAAGGATTGACAATTTCAAACAATAGGTTCCACTTAAGCAATTTTTTTCCGTAACTAAAAAATCTAAAAATATGAATACAGTTTTTTTTACAGACATTTTAAGTTCAAATTTGGGCAAAATTACATGTTAACACAAAGTATAACGTTTATTGTCATTTTGTTGTAATTCGGTTCCAAAACAGCCCAATTTTACATATGTATATTTAATATTTTTCCAAAATCACTGATAATTTTAAAATTTAAGAATAATAGAAATTCAACTTATCAGCTGGCAGCTACCGTATTAATAATAAGTAATAGCAATATAAAATATTCTATATTCTAGACCAGCGGTTCTCATTTGTGCTCCGCGAGAGTAGTCTTGGAGCTCCGTGGCTCTGTTATGTGCATTCAACTCTCGTCCATCAAGCCAAATATTAAAGTACTAGTGAATAAAAAAAGCCAACATCATAGATCACATTAATGTCATAAAAATTGTAATTTATAAATTACTAAAATATTATGTTCTTTTTTTCTATTAAATTAATTGAATAATTTGTAGGTATACGTTCATATTCTACAGAAAAAAAATAAGAAGCAAATCATTTATAATTAACATCATTTTTTGTGAATTATTGTTACCTCAAATAGACATTTCTGAATTTTGGGGCCCCCTTTTTTTGGGAACATTGGGGCTCTACGATCAAAAAAGTATGAGAACCGCTGTTCTACACTGACATATCGTCTCCGCTCAGAACCATTTTTCGTACACACAATGATATGATATCATTGAATTCAAATTGAATATCATCCATTACTAACCTTCTAGACAACTATTATACAGCAGAGCTACATCCACTTTTTTTATACTTATATAGCTGTTGCTATAACCATTCGACAAATCTACAAACAGGAGTATAGGTTAGGTTACACAAAGTAACTGAAGTACCTAACACTGGTACAACATATAAGTTATTCTTATATGAATCGTATACGTGTGATAATTACTTAAAATAAACCAAAATATTATATACCTACTTTCAAATATGACACAATCCATAAAATTAAATATGTTTTGTATCCTAATGTTTGTAGATGTAACCCTAAATAGGTATTAGTGGTTTAAAATTTAAATAAATTAGGATTAGTCTAGAAATTTGAAAATGTCTTTGTTCGTGGAAACTTATGATTCGTGTGGAATTACGTTATTATTAGCGAAATTACTTTTGAGTTGCAACAAAATAACAAAAATCGTTTGAGGAGAAATCGGTATTTAACGTTTGAATGTGCAATTAGAATTCAAACACTCATAAAAAATGTATGTGTCTTTGTGCTAAACGTTTTTATCAATAGCAGGATCAATTGATTAAGAATCTTATACTAAATATTCAAGTTTTAGATTTTTAAATTATTAAAACGTTATGCTTCTGTAAACGTTTTAGTGATTTAGACGAATTACGTTAAGACTTTTACTTCAAAAGCTTATAAAAAATATTGAGACCATATGGATTTTCAGAATAGATTAACTGATTTAAGGTCTGATAGAAATGTGGAACCTTGTCTTATATTTTCAATATTTTTGACTTGTAAAAAAAAATGAAGACGGTTTGTAAGCGATAAGCCTATATTTTATTAAGTATATTTTAAATCATATTTATGCTGCTATTAAAGTATTGTATTTTATTTTTGTAATTCAGTAAATCAAATTAATATTTGCCACAAACATTGCATTTGAAAATGTCGTTGTGTGCACTGTGCATAAAATAAAATAGTGTACGTTAAATGTTTCAAGTACCTACCTAAGAGTATTATATCGATTTATATTTTTAAATATTATAACTAATTAACTAAAACCGATTTTCTTTGTTTAAATAATTATAATTTTGTCTAAATTTGAACTTAAAATGTACAGAACAACACGCGAGATTACTTATTATTAGAGGTTTTTGATACATGGTTAACTATTTATGAAGAACCTTATATTTTATTTCCAAAACTAATCTATACAATTTAAACATCTTATGTATTTTTAACTACAAAATTATTTGCAAAAGTTCGTGCTTTAATGAATTTTGTCGAAATCTGAACTTTAAATGCTTAATAAAACAATCTGTAAATGTACCTGTAGTATTTTTAAGCTGCTATTATGAAAACTTATGGGGAATCTTACAACGAATTTCCTCAAAATTCTAACTTTAAATGTTTCTATAAAAGTATTTTTTCTGTGCATTCATAATATTTTAAATATCAATGAAGAATCTGTATTAAATGTACAAAGTTTCTATCCGAGTGAAAATTTTAGTATCGAAATGTAAAGAAATAAATGCTAAAAAATATGCGAAATATCGAATGACTGTATAATTACAGCTTAAAAAGAGTAAAAATATTTTTTAAATTGTAGCACGTAGCTGTAATATGCGCAATGCTAATATAAACAGTTGTTGTTGAAAATGTAAAATATCTATGGTTATTCGTTTTTGAATTACATCAATACCTAAATAAGATTTTTTCACAAACTGGTTTTTGAGTGAATATTCTTCTATTCTCCTTAATTAAATAATATTTGTTTTTTATTTTTATTTTTTTTGACCCTCAAAAGTACCAACTAGATTCAAACTGCTACCAGAAACCACCCTCAAAGTTAAAATCTTAAGCATTTTTCTACAAAATAAATTGATGGTGGACAAATATAAAAAATGTAAAAGAAAACAATATTTTAATGACAATATAAGCATATTTATTATTTTTGCTACAAATCTTACACATCTTATGTATTGTAAAAAATATAGTAAACCACTATGTTCACCAAGCTAAAAATATAAGCTCTGCTGTTTGAGACAATGCATCGTGTACCTACGGACGAGTCGTCTATACTTCCCTTAAACAGCAGAATTTATATTATTAGTTTCGTAAGCATGGCGGTTTAAACACTTGTACAATGAATTATGACGTCGAAAATCTAATAGTTATTATTTATTAATGATATTTATAGTTGCGATGGCGAATTATTTTCCCGTAGTTTATTGCATAAAAAAACAACATCATTCCAGCGATTCCATGAATAAGTGGGGCAGCTGTTGTACGTTTTGGCTGTACATATTGGTGAGACCATCGCCAATAAGCCCGGGAAATCAACGCGGCGAATGCTTTTGGTGATTTATTTCGGCATTTCATCCATTGGTCGATCTCGCAGAGTTTCACCTCTGAAAATGGCGTGTGGGCAGCGCCATAGAAACGGGCTGGATCGTAGGGTCCGTGCACTTTGGGATTGTACTCGGCGGGATAATCACCGATGTCGCCGACCTTGAACGATCCTGCAGCAGAATGATCCTGAATTTTCTTCACCGTGGTCTTCACCGTGGTCTTGACTGCGGATAGACGAAGAAAACAGTGATAATTGAAAACGGCGTTATTATAGGTATGTAGTATTGCGTGTTATCGATATTTAATAGTATACAATACCCAGTCGAGTCAGCTCGAATCTTAAGAGAAGGAAAAATAAATTTGAATTATTTACTTTTGGGATTATATACTCGAAACACAATTTAAAAACACTTCAAGGGACAAAATTTAGTTATCTCTAAAGGTTTTGAGTAATCGAGGTTCGAGTTATCGAGACCTGACTGTACATTGTGCATTGAACTTACCGTAGCAGACGATCTTCTCAATGTAATGATTCATATTGGAAATCAAAAAATATGTATATGCAATGACAGGTTTTACTTAAACGTTGAATAAATGAAATGTAATTTTATAATTTTATTTTATTATTTAAACGCTTTTACAAATGAATGTATGTTTACTGCAATTTGAATTACACAAAGTGCATGGACAATATTATAAGCCTTAAAACTATACAATTTTTGTGACAACAAATGGGATCAAACAAACTTTTAAGACTTTCGACCGATAAATGAAATTCAAATTGCAACTGCATTATGTTGTTATAGATACGCGTAACAAAGGTAAACAATATCTAATACCTAGATACTACATATCGACGAGTTTGATCCATTTTAAATTGTAATTGGCCATACCTACTTATTGTCCCAATAAACAATTAAATTTTAAAAAAAACAAAAGTTTTTACCTACCTAGTAAATATTTATAATAATATAATTATAGACTATAGTGTAGTGCTAATACATAAATTAGTTGACTATATTAATTTATATAATTATATTATAGTTTGATGTTTTGAAATAGGTATTATTCATACAAAATTATAGAGAGTATTTATTAATAGGCACTTGTTATTTATTAGTAGGTACTTACTGCCTGTTGTATGTAACATGCGTGAATAAATAATTTAAAAATAAGAATTAACAATTGCTAAAATAATAGTACCTATCGAATGAAAACAAAAAACTACTAGTTTCAGTATGGACCGATCTACAGGTAGTATTAAAATAAATCAATAAATAACAAATAATCAACTTTAAAATTATAAGCATTTTAAGCTCTGACTCTGGTACTACAAAGTAAAAGTGTTGGTACAAAAATGTTTTCTCAAATTAGTAACCAATTCGCAATAACTTGTAACCCAAAATTTAGAATTTTCAACTCAAGTATAGCACCCACAAAAACAAGTTTCCATTTGCGGGCGCCAGTGTTAGTTAACTCCAGCACTCAAAATTCGAAAAAAAAACTTATGTACCGTTACAGACAAACACAGACGAATGATTAATAACCGATTAGTAATAATTCGTAACCAAAAATTTGGAATTTATATCTCAAATATAACAGCAGTAAAACTATGTATCATGTACATGTGCAACTGAAAATTTTTCTACCTGTAAAAAATATTGGCATTGCCTTGGTAATAATTAACGAAATTATTAAATAAGGTATTAGATTTAAGTAATGCGTACTTATTTTTAATGAATTTACTGTAACAATCAATAAGAATAATTAAAACATAATGCCTAAAAATACATTTAAATTTAGTATGATCAAATTGTAAGTATAATAATTAATTCAATAATAACTTCACATCGCTGGTTTATATTTAAAACGTTTTATTTACAGTTATCATAATATGATAATATAATATTATAATATTATAATACTCTCGCATTTGTCATTAGATCTAGATGCAGTGTTGGGCATATTACTAGATACTTTTATGTTTAATAACTATATAACAGTTACAGTTATGTAACTATAAGTTACATTTTTAGTTAAAAATTACATTGGGAAATGTATAAAGAATTATTTACCATTTTTATATTGATATTTCATATAATATCCCTGTAAAATGCAACATAGGGAGGATATAGGTAGTGTTTATATGAATACAGAAAAATGTTATGGTTTAAAAAGTTGTTATTAATTATTTTTTTGATGTTGATTGATTTATAATTATTTGGTTTAGTCTAATATTAATTTTTTAATTATTTTAAGATGGCTACAGACATAATTTAGTAGGTTTTTTTAAAATACATTGGAATACTTTTGTCTATTGTAAATTCTCCATATAATTTCAAGAGTACTCAACTACTATAGATAATAATGACATGGGAACATTTGTAAGTTACTTTGAAATAAGTATTTAAATATTATATGTTTTTAATTTATCATAAAATGCGTTATAATAATAATTGTAGGTGATTAGACCTGTCTACAGGTCCAACAATACCGACTATCCTAGTCAAAAGATAAAACTTCTAAAAACATATTTGAATTAGTCTTGAGTTTTATCTGAAAACTATATTTTGGAGTCTGAGAGGAGCAATTATGTGTGTTTTTTTGAATTTATTTTTTTTTGTGTCTGTCATCACGGTTGGGACAGTAATAATTGCTCCCATTTTCTTCAACAGCAACTTTTCTGGTAGAAAAGTGAATCTAGTTAGTGGCATTTAGTAGGTTAGGATTCAAAATGTCCAATGCTTTTCAAAAACAACATTAAGAACAAACAAAAAATCAAAGGAAAAACGAGAGCTCTTAATTAAAACCAGTTTTCAAAATAATCGATTTTGGTTTTAGTGTAATTCTAAAAAAAATAACCGTGATAGATACATGCAATTTTCACTGAATATTTATGTTAACATTTTCTATACACCATAAGATTTTAAAAATATTTTGGTTAGTGTTGAACTATTTATAGGTGTATGAAATTTTCGATTATTATTTGTTTTTTTAAACTAATGTCGATAAAAAAATTTTAGCTCCTTCAAAAAACTTAACAATGTAATACATGTTTCCTCGTAAGTTCTCGTAAATAGAAATTAAAAAAAAAAATTGAGCTTAAATCCACAGTATTTTTTTATGCACGTTTCAATATAGAATTTTGACACAATACTTAAAAATAACGAAAATTTGAAAATTATTTTTTGTTAGAAATTCATGAAAATGTATTTTTTTATATCTGAGATTTGAAAATTTAATACACGATTTCTTATAAGTTTGTCTTTTATTATAACCTTTATCAAAAAAAAAAAAAAAAATGTCTACGGGAAATTCAAATTGAATTTTTATAAACGTTTGAAATTGACATTTTTACAACATTAGATATTTACTAGATTTCTCATGCAGCGATATTCTTATTTTGTTGTAATTCGACATCGATTAACTGTAGATACTGAAATTTACAAAATTTGTTTATTTTATCGATTCATATACTTGATAAAATTTTCGAAATATTTTGACTCATTTTGAGCTTTCTACGGAAATTCTCAATTCTCAATTTGTTTACTTTTTTTTTTATAAATGTCAATACAATTTTATTGTTTGGGTCCAAAAGCATGAAAATGTAATACAAGACTTTTGATATATTGTTACAAAAGCAGTTGAAAAATATAAGAGTGCTCTGATATTTCTTTTACGCAAAGCCACATACTCAAATGATCACTTACTACGCAGAGAAACGACCCGCAAGTAGAAAATATGAAAATTGGCATGTAAACTAAACTCCTAAAAAACGGTCACTATCGAATCCTCTTAAATTTGGAGGGATCCATACCAAAGTACAAAAAATATTAATCTGAAAGACGACACGACTATACAACTTAAAAATTAACCTAATAAACTTAATTCTCTCAATAGAACTAAATTATATGTTAATACTGCAATGACAGTTGAAACTTTAACAATAGCTCAAATGTTTTCTCTGCAGTTCAAAAGAAGACTTATTTCCATGTCATTCAACATACGCGACAAAACTGGAATTTTGTGTAGACACTTAAATGATACTCTGAATTTATAACAAAAACATACTGCGGACTAAATAGTAAAATAGATTATGGACATTTTATAATATTTGTGACAGGCACGCTAACGAGCAGCGTTACAGCTCTAGTCAGAACTAATTTAATTATTTAATTATTATATTTTTCTCAATTTCTGAGTACATATTTTTATTGTGTTTAACACTTTTAAGCCATGTATATGTGTTATAAATGATTCAAGACTATGCCCTATTTACTTATATCTTTATAATAGTGCCTTATGACTTTTTTATTATTGGGATAAGAATAAATATTATAAGCGACTTCCTATCAAATTATTTATTTTTTAATGCTTAAAATAACAATACTTAATAGCCTTATACTAATTGTATGGATACTATAATGGAAACTTTAATTCTCGTGGGTGGAACACATTACCTACAAAATGTATTCTAATCATCTTTAATATTAATATGGTATTTATTTCTATTAGCTAGATATATTGTATTTCAACAATTATTTTGAATCAATTCGGATTTAGGAGGAAATCGAAATAATTTATATGCGATAATTATTGATTTGAACTGTCATTTCGTTAAAAATGAGCGATTTGAATTAAATTAAATGTTGACAGTTTTTAATTAATTTTATAAGTTATAATATAGAATATTTAATTTCTCGTAAGTTTTCTTTGCAGAGAATATGATACCATATAAAACGACTTACATTCGTTTTAAAAGTAAATTGTGAAAAATGTTCTATAAACTCAAGGAAAGCAAAATAAAAATACTATTAAAAAATACAGGTTCCCCTTGAACAAATTTTCAACTTTAATCACTGGAAGAATAATGATATTACTTCAAAATCCCAGCCCTCTTAACGAAGAACTGAAAAAAAAATTATTTTAAAACCAATATCGGTTGTATCACTCAGTTCAAAATATAAAAGTGTAAAAGTTCTAACTTCCGAACTATAATATTATTACATTACTATATGACCAATAATTGAGTGCAAAGCGCATTATATTTTAAGTGATGCAGGACAATGCATTCCAAATTCATAATTCATGTAGATAACAGATGTGTACTTCAAAGGTGAAACTTTTATACTGTACTGTCTTCGCAGTGGCGTTCTCAGGAAATTTCAATGGGGGGGGCTCTGAAAATTTACTAGAATACGAAAGTGGGGGGCTCTGCCCCCCCACACCCCCCGTAGTTATAAAAATTACAAATTTTGCACTATTTAAAAAAATTATATATATTTTAACACAATAACACATTATAATATAAAGTCTAATTTCCTTGGCTTTTTTGCCAGATCGTCCACCACTTCCTCAGCTGTTAGTGGCACATCCCCATGAATTGCCAACATTGTGAGTCCATTAAGACGAGTCTAAAATATTTTAACAGATACATTAGGTTTAGGTATACTTATAAATTTAACCAAACATTATGTTTGTAAATAAAAGTTAATACCTCTGTCATTGTACTACGTAAATAGTTTTTAAGTCTTTTAAGACAAGAAAAAGTCCTCTCTGGCGTTGCTGTAGATACTGGTATAGTACACAGAATTTTAATCAGGCGATGGATATTAGGAAATATTTCATTGTTACACAGTCTTAACGCCTCTAATGCATTTTTCGGTTCTTCTTTATTTCTCTCCAATTTAGTGTGCCATAGTAGTAATTCGGCTGTAACAATTTGTAGATCGGTATCTAGGTAATACTGAACCAGTTCGTCAAACTCTTGAGTAAAGGGTTTAGAAAATAAACACCCAAATCCTAACAAAAGAAAAATATATTTTAAATACTAAAAATTAATTAATTTATAAATGAAATAAAATAGGTATAACTAGCCTTTTAATATATTTTTGTGCTTCAAAAACCTTTCATTTAATTGTTCTATAAAAGAATCAATAAATGGTATGGCTATTGTTATACGATAATATTTTTCTGGTGTAATATTATCAATGCAGAGGTTTGCTCGATTTTTGTTAATTTTATTCTGACGTTTAATTGAAATACTCACGCCAACCACATCAGCCATTTTCTGAAAAAATAATAATAATCGTTTTGTCAAATAATTGCATTTTATCAAAATCTTTACCTCAGCTTCTCTGAACATTTTATTGAACTCTTGTTCTATATTATCACGTAAACATTGAATACTTGTCACAGTCACTTCAGCTAAGTCTACAGCTTCTTTTAAATCAAGTTCAACTTTTTGTAATAGTTTACATAGAGGCAAACCATATCCAAACAACTCCTAAATAATAAAATAAAAATTGAAGTTGAACAAAAAAAAAACATTTTTGATTCATTAATCACCTTAATAACTTGTAAAGAGACAAAAAAATCAGAATCCATAGATTTTGACAGGATATTAGCATCTGTAGCTGTTGAGTCTTTCCACTCAGATATCTTATCGAGCGCACTGACCACACAGGAATATAATTCCACAAAGTCATGAATTGCCGAATATCTTTCAACCCATCTTGTGGCACATAGGCGTTTTAATGATTTCGATTTAGGATTAAAGTCACTTTCTTCAATTTCACTTAATAACATATCTTGTCGTTTAGGTGTGTTGAAGAAACAGTACATTTTTTCAACAATACCCAAACAGTTCCTAATTGATCGTATATCACAAGCAGCAGATACAGCCAGATTTAGAGAATGGGCTGCACAGTGAACATATATAGCCTTAGGGAACTTTTCAGACACAATTTTTTGTGTTCCTTTGACGTGTCCTGTCTATCTCGATGTTTAATATATTAATTTAATCACTTAATAATAAAAAATATTGTATTGTGATACCCATATGAAATATAAAAAATACGGCCAATGGGGGGGGTTCAAACCCCATGAACCCCCCCCCGTGAGTACGCCACTGGGACAGAGTATTTTTTGTCATTTTTCATTTTCATTTTTCATTTTCCATTTTCCATTTTTCGAGCATTTTTATTATTTTATGAAGTCATATTACATATTAATAAATATTGTAAGATCTTTTAGTGTAAATTTTTTCCGAAAGTCTGTGAACCTGAAACCTTTTTTCCCGAACATTGAAAAAGTTCATTTGGGAAAAAAGGCGGGTACCCAAAATATTACATCAGGAAATATGGTTTTCATAATATTATTTGCATTATTAGTTTTTAAGACTTTTCATTCGTTCCAAATGTCAATAGTTCTATCATCTATGAAAGTATGACTTTGCCAATTTACACCGAATATCGGATACATAAAATGCATTTCATTATATAAAAATTGTTTTTATTATTAATATTTATTGAGTAAGACTTAGGTAGTGCTTTGCATTATCTAGATAATTTATCAGTATAATACTAATTTAAAGTATCTTTTTAAACATCTATTTAAATAAAATAGTTATCCGAAATAAATGATCTAGATATTTTTTTTTGGTGACAATTTTTAATTTAATTTTTATATATTATAATAAATATGTATATTTTTTGCGAGAAGATGTAATTCAGTCCAAGCTTTTGTCTACAGAGCATATTTATTCGATTTTATTTTCAAGTTCTTTTAGTTGTATGTACATTTATTTGTTTTACTGTAGTTATTTTGTAGGTCATTCTTTGAGAAATCGTATGTATATATTATTTGCTTTTTTATTGATCTAAAACCGGCTGCATGGTTATGTACAATTGTTTAACTTAACTCAAACAAGTTTTTTATTACTATATTGTATAGTTAAGTTTTTTCTTGAGCATAATAGTAAATTGTTTTCAGGCTTGGGTCCTAACGCTGCGTCTAATAGGTATTATTGAGGATTTTTTATTCTTCGAGTTCTTATTTCACGTGACATTCGTGAGTGAACATGACACCGTTATAGTGTTACTCCTCAGGTTTCGCATACAGATGTAAGATCCATGGATCTTCCTTTGACATCAGAATCAGAAAACTATGTGTTGTTCTGGTGTTCTCAATTCTTAACCTATTAGTATTTAATACACATGTATTTATGCGTTTGAAAATTGACCTTTGTATGGATATTATTATGTTTATAGAAGAAATACTTGTCGGGCGAACATATCTTGCTGTCAAATGAGAGTTTTAAATTATGTTTGATTTTTATCTAAATAAATATGGTTTTGTTCTGTTAGCTATTATTCAGATAAATACTATAAGATATATCTATTATCTTATTTGGATAGAATGTCGAATAATATTATCTATTATTTTATCTAGTTAATTGTTTTATTATCCCTGTACAACACACTTATTAAATATACTAATTGGTCAGTCGGAGTTACATTGCTGTTTATTCCGGCAGTATCCTGTTTATTTTATTGAGTGCAAGCTCGCTATTATATGTTTGTTTTATTGTTACTGATAAAAATTCCGAAAGTTAAAACGTCGTTTTCGTGCCTTGTGCCTATCAATAGAATTTGGACGTTGTTGTGTCGAAAAGGCATTTGTTTTTAGACAATTTTTCAACAGTTCTTAAACCACTTAAACCTCTGCCCTTAAGTCCATTACTATATTCATACATTCGTAATATTATTATAAGCGTGCATGGGTTCGTGTATACTCGTGCGTGCGGACGATACGCAACAATAATCGACAAACGCCTAAAAACCGGTAAAAACGCGTTCCACCGTTGGATATACACTATGGCCGTTTAATTCCATTATGCGAGATTCTCGTTGTTCGGCATCACGAAATAGACTTACAATAATATATTTTAGTATAATATACTAATAACGAGACAATAACGAATATCGTACTCGGGTGTTGGGTGACAATAAGGCGACACGTGTTGGCACAGTTGTTGTCGTCTGTCGTCCCGTTCTCTTCGGCGCTCGCTCGTGCCGCGCCAACGGGGTGAGGGGGGTGGCCAGCAGGGGGAAGGCGGAGGAGGAGCGTGAGTCGTATACATTTTGTATAATAATAATAATAATAATAGGTAATACGTGTAATATGGTTTTTTCGTTGGTTTGTTCTTTCAATTATTTAAACAAGTGTAGATCCGTGTAATTAAAACGTTTTTTAATTTTTTTGTAACGCGCCACTACATATTTGCGTCTATAAACATATTATTCAGTCGCTTCTGACAAGTATCGTCACCGCCGTCTGTATACGCGGTATGTAGGTATCCATTATAAAATTAGTACGGTTTTGGTTCCCGGACGATTCGAATGCTACCATTAAAAAGCCATCAACCGTTTTCGCTCGACACATAATAGCTACATTATAATAGTTGCCTACCAGCACTGTAGTATAGGTGTAGACATCTAGTGGCCTCACTCGGGCGAAGAACTGTCTTTCCGTTTCCCGATCAAGAAAAAAGTAAAAAACAATCGACAAACATGAGCGAACCATCGCCCAGAGGAATCGAAGTGGACACGAGATCCGTTATACAAGTGAGTAATTTATTATTAATATATTTTGTCTATATGGATGTGAAATGTAAATTTTGAAGAAAAATGCATTCATTTTAGCGTACGAAACGTATAGCTTTGTTAATATATTTTTTGAATTATGCATAAGCGAATTCGATTTTGAATCTTTATTTTTGCATTTTTTAGTCTTTACCAATACCTATATGTCAATTTTTATTTTTTATTTTTTAATATTCCGGTTAATTAAAACTTTCTACACACATTTTATGAATTATTATTTTCAATTTTCAACTTATATATTTTTACATCGTTTTTCTCCTTAATACAGTTCGATACATTTGAATACCTACCTACGTGCTTTATATTTTAATTTTTTAATGCATCTTTCGAGATTTTAAGTGCAGTGTTCATACTGCAAGTTTTGAGATTTTAAATACATATTTTAAGATTTTTAATTGCATTTAATTCACAGCTCTATTTATTATTAATTCGTGTTTCGTACTGGATATAAACGATACGACGTATGCAGTCGTCCGATTTTGCCAATCATATATCGTTTGCACATATTTTGAACGTATGTTTATATAGACAGTCGAACTAGTACGACAGAGTTATCGTAGGTTAAATAATAATATCGTTGAATACCAAACTATGCTTTTCGGTTTTATACTGAAGATTAATACCTACGTCCTAACCACCCGACATTGTAGTCCGTAGCTCTCTGTACTGTAATATACTATTAATACGTCGGACGGAAACAACAGCACAATAATATTATATTGTTATTAATCGAGTGGTTTTATTTAGCTGTTTAGCTGCATATGGGTAGTGTAGGTATACTAGATGTGGTATAATAGTTTAAGAAAACATAAAACGCTGCGTGACTTGTTCGTTAGCCAATATATTCTTATACAATAGCTCAAAAAATATTATTAACCATTTTATAGTTATAAAAATAATGCACTATTCACTATGCCTATAATATCTGACTTCCCAAAGAAATACATATATATATAATATTTATATACAATATACATTATAAGCTTTCGTTTAGAGCTCTGCGGAAATCTAAATGTTTGAGGACCGCTGTAGGTACCTAGGTACTGTATATAGTGCATAGTATATACTATACTTATATCATAAATGGCCAAATTTTTTTTGATTAAAATCTACTGAGAATATATTTTTCCTTTGAGGGTCGACTAACGTATAATAATAATATTGTTTTATTTTTTGGTCTTTATTACTAATATTAGTTTCACATTCAATTTCTTAAAAATTTAAAAAAAAATCAACATTATACTGTTGGCTTAGAAGCGTGTCATTGCATATTGTTGGACCAGTTAATTATAGTTTGGAGAATAAAGTCGTTAAGTGCTGAACGAAAACGCTGCTGATATGGTCATCAGAAAATGTAGTCTGGCAATTAGCTTTGAGAAATTGCCATTTTATGCAAATCGATTAATTCGAAATATTATATATCTACTAAAAATCTATCACCTAACATGACGTACAATAATAAGTTTTTACAATGGGGGGTCAACTTTGATATTTTCCAAGATCTACCGTTTGGCCACCCTCACTATATCAGTGTTGTAAAAAATAATTTTAAGAGCCAAATTTGAAATACTATGTTTTTATAAACTAGTAAATCATATTAAATATAATGTTTTTTTTGGATTCTAATCAGAGTGATAAATGGTAGGTATTGATTTTACAGCGATGTGTGTTTTTTATTATTTTTCTTTTCGTCTATGAACTCAATAAATGGACAAATGGTCGAAATAATACTTTTATTTTGAACATCAGTAACTTTTCTGATGAGAAAGTGAATCTAGTTGGAGCATTCGAGAAGTCAAAATAAAAATATACAGTAGTTTTCAAAAGTTTCAGGAAAAAACAAAAAAAATTTCAGAACAATTTACGCAAACCCAGTTTTTGACGAAATCAATTTTGTTTTTTTTGTGTAACTAAAAAAAATTGACTGTAGATGCATGTAATTTCCACCCAATGATTTTATAATAATTTTAAATAATTTTCACTCAAAAAAAATTATATATAAATTAGAATTTTCTATACACCATAATATTTTCAAAATATTTTTACTAGTTTTAAGCTATTTGATAGACATTTTAAATTTTAAATGCACTTTTTTTGTTGGGTTGACATGCTTCAAAATGTAATACAATTTTATACACACAATAACATTTTCAAATGCAATTTGTTTTACAAAAATTAATTCAATCTACTGTAGTACTTATTACTTTAATCACAATATTATCATAAAATATAGGTAATTAGTAATATTATAGGCTGACAGGCCGCCTTCGCTCAAAATCGTTTTTCGTATGCAATGATTTTACATCGTTGAATTCAAATTTAAGACATCCATTTCAGTGATGTTTCTACCTATTGAACAGCAGAGCGTTACCCAGTTTCTCACTTTTTTACTATACGTTTCCTTATTTTTGAATCAGTAAAACTGTTTAAGGTGTTTTTGACAGTTAAATTTAAATTATTCATGAAATAGGCACTTGATATATTAATAAATACTTATTAATACTATAAACATAACATAGATTGTAAGCTGTAGAATCTTGAACATTTTTATATTTTACACTTTGTTATTTATTAATTATTAACTAATAGCTAACTTGACTACAGCATATATAAGTTATAAAACCTATCATATTCAAATCTATATTAAAATTCAAAATTCTCTTTAAAAAGAACCTGAACACATTTTACTGTTGAAAGTTTTATTAAACTATAATGGATCAATTAAGAGAGCCGAACTGATTAGTAAAATCGACTAGGTATATATTATAATTTATAATCTACAAATTATATTATTTATTATTTAAAAAGATAAGATTTTGGTTTTCATGGGCATTGTTTTTCAGTAATATAAAGTTAATAGTATATTTTAATATACTATATAGTTCCAAACATTTATAACAAATGACAGTCAGAAAAAAGTTTTTAATGGAAAGCAGTTACCTATTCAATACAATAGAATACCTCCTAAAATAGTACCTGCCTATTTAAAATTTACTCGAATACTTGTCGATGGACGATATTTAAAATACTCTTTCAAAACACAAAAAAGTATTTGAATATCAGTACTAGAATACTTCACAACACTTCCTCCTATAGGTAGGAAGGCCTATATAGGTAGGCATTTAAATTAGAACGTGTTGCGCGCGCATTATCAGAGGAAATCGCTAATCGTTACAGTGTGCCGCATTAACTATTTTACCTACAGGTATTAATAGCAAGTATAATTATTATCACCAATTTGTAACGTTGTTTGACTTTTGTTGCTATATCTATATAGTTTATCCTCGAGTTGTATTCAACCTACTACAATGACTACTAGTTACAATATATTATTATTTATTACAAACGTTTTCGCATTTCACACACAAGGATAGGTATATATTAACATTATATTGTATTAGTTTAGTGTTAAAGTGTGAAATGGTGTTCATGAAATATCTAGGGTACTTTAAACTGCAACCAACCAAATTCAGTAGAATATAATTTATAAGTTAACTATGGATATTGTATAATAAGTAAAATTGCATATTATTACGACAACACTTATTTATGCGTATTACGTACCTATAATATTACGTGATATATTTTACATTGTTTATTGTTCAACAATTTTGTAATAATATATCATATTATCTACCTAGTAAGTAGTAGGTATTTCACGTTTTAAATATAGGCATTTAATTTATTAATTTTCAAAATATTGTAAATCAGTTGCAAAATCATTGGTCATAACTCATAAGATATAACTTCCCCCCCCCCCCCCAAAAAAAAAATGTTCTTTTAAATTCAAATTTTATGTTTTCAGATATAAAATACAATATATAATGGTTTAAAATTTAACCCCACCCATAGTATTATTGTAATGGAAATCATCTCAAAGGGATTTTAATTGAGTTCATTATTACGAAAAATTCGAGATATCGACTTCCGATATAATATAATAAGGATCTACTGACATTTTATGTATCGATAATGAAATTTACAAATTTATTGCCCATATTCTCATTTTATACTAAATGTACTTAAAAAATATAAAATATATTATCATTATTCCTGAAAGTAATCAGTAATCTCTAATCAATATTTGTAAGTATCAAAATAATAATTTAATATTTATATTTAAATTATATTACAACTAGTATAGACAGTAAAGTATGTAAATAAAGTATGTACAGTAACTTCAATATTCAGTACATGGTTCCTCATAAGTTATTGCTATTTGTAATCAAAAAAAAATTAGCGTCAACTAACGATATTTTGTATGACCATCCGAAGTTGAAATTTTGAAAAAATTCGTCAAAATCACTAAAATTGGCAAATTTTTTTTTTTAATTAATAAAAATATATATATTATCTAAGATTTGAAAATTTAATACAATATTTCCCACAAACTTTTTTATCTTCAAAAAAAAAAAAACTCAAATTAATGTTTTATGGGCGTTTCGACATTAGTTATTCACCCGTAAATGAACGAATTCTCATCGGACAATTTTCTTATTTTATAGCCATTTTCAATTTTTTAGTTTTTTTTCTATACATTTTTTCAGACATTTTCAAATTAATATATTATAGTTAAAAATTAAAAAGTGTTCAATTTTTATAGCTAAGAATTGAAAATTTAAAAAACGGTTTCTCATAAACTAGTATTTCATAATCTAAATAATATTTTCAACAAATATATAAGACAGTATTCTTATAAGCATTTTTTTCTAATTTGGACAAAATAAGATATTTTAATTTTTAACAAAGATAAACGATTTATAGTTATTTTGTAATTATGGATAATATAATTATTCATTTTACAACTTATACACCAAACGCCAGTTACAAAAGAGTAAACGAAACAAGTTAATTAAGGCAACAGTGCTAACAAAACAATGATATAATAAATGTTATTTTTTGTGGGTACTCGAAACTTTTAAAGCTTATTACATATTATATTTTGTACACACAATGACATTTTCAAATGCAAAAATTAATGCATCCTGTACTGCATTACTAATAGTGAAATCAATACTTTAATATCAATAGTATTATCAACTCATAAAATATTCTTATTTCTTGTTCATATAGGCTGAAGAATTTTTTTCACCCTGAAACGTTTTTCGTATACAATGATATTATATCAATTAATTCAAATTTAACACATTCATTACAGTGACTCGTACGTTATCTAATACATAGCAAAGGGGTATTCACTATCTCACCATTCAGAACAATGTTTATAATTTTTTTTAAAAACTATAGTTGATAAAATTTTTTTTTTATCAATACTTTAATTTAATGCAAGGTTCCGCACAAGCTTTCGTTAGTAAAAACTAAAAAAAAAAAGTTGATCGTAAATCCACAGTATTTTTAATGGGTGTCTAAAGTTAGAATTTTGACATAGCTTGTCAAAATCATGAAATTTTTCAAATTATTTTGATTAAGGAATACATAAAATATTTTTTATTTAAATCAAAAATTTGAAAATAAAATATCATGAGTTTTTTCCTTATGTTAATAAAAAATAAAGTTTACTGGAAAGTTATATATATATATTTGGAATTAAACATTGGATATTCACCCTAAAATTAACAAATTCTCATTAAACGATATTTTTTCAAATCAACTGAAAATAAAAGTGAGTACTTCAAGTGAAACAAATAGGTATAAATCGAATAATTATTATTTACTTGTATAGCAGGATTTTGGAATGATCGTGTAATATTGTATTATTGTGTACACGATTAAATACTATAATATAATTATAATTATGTATAATAGGTACTACAATGTATAATATTTAGTGTATTAAGTAAAATTCAAATGTATTTTTCAACTGATCATTATAGCTAAGGAATGGAACTGTGGCATGACGACAGGTGAAAATTAGTAGTTTAGGATGTTTTAAAAATTCACCTGTACCTGAGCTCTAGGAAAATCCCGAATACACCACTGGTGTGATAATGTTGTTTTTTTCAATTTAGGAAAACGTCGCTCGAAGCGTGTACGTGAACAAACCGCACGTGGACACGGCAGTCTCGGCGATCAACACGTCATCCGTGCACTACGACCAAAGTTCGTCGGACTCGACCACCATTTGCACTCTCAGCAACGTGCTGCCGCCCTTGGCTTACGACTACCAACACCATCCACCTTTGACCAACGTCCAGATCGGTGCGCCCGGGATACCACAGCCTCCCGTGTACGGCACTCCCCGCGACGAACATCAGTACTCGCCCACGGTGACGGGCGTCGGCCCCAACTGTTACATGCAGACCGAGGTCAAGTCCAGCTCGAGGGTGCGCTCGTACGAATCCGAGAGAGGTAAATAGCAATAAAACTCTAACTAATAATATCGTGGAGACTCCACGCTACTTTATTTTGGAACAAAAAAGACCCTCGTCATAAGCGTCTCGGCGTATACCGACTTGAGTCTTACTCCGGTAATAGTTTTGAAAACATGTCTTAATTTATTACAAAGTCTATTTTGAACCGCTGAACGGTTTAAATGTTTCTAACTGGCATGAACTTGTCATAAAAACGCTTAAACCACAAACTATTTTATGGCGAAATGTTGTCAATTGTAGACCTAAACGAGTTCCAAAATACACGACTTACGTTTCACATTGATAATAATTTTGAAAACCGCTTTTATTTTGTTGTTAATTCAACTTTGGACACACATTTTTAGTTTATTATCCTTAAAAATAAAAAATAAACTTACTTGAAATTTAAATGAAAAAGAAACAGGTTTGGACTGACAATGGGTTTGCAAACACTTACTAACTGTAGAAAATTGTCTTAACATGTTCGGACTTTCTGGGTGACATTGAAGAGCTGTTTATAAGTTATATTGTATTAATCTTATCTTGAGTACAACCTAATATAAATAAGATTTTACTAAATTATTTGAATTATTATTTTTATAAATTGTATTCATAAATTGTTATTATAAATTATGTTTATGAGATATTTTTATACAAATTATCAGAAATTATTTCTAAAAATAATTTAAAAAAATAATGTAACAATGTATACATACTAATAATTAATACAATACTATTTGACTGTATCGCCATTATACGGGACTCAGTATTCGTAGTATGTTGAAGTCCATAAGGAGCACACCGAATTAAATTTCTTATACGAGACGTGTGTAGGCCTTAGGCCTTATAATTATGTGTGTGTTAATATTATTGTATCGATCAGATGTTGATCATACATAATGTTTAGATTATATATACATGAATTTCATGAAACATATTTATAATTGTTACATTATTATATCACTGTGAAAAAAAAACTGATAATAACTTGCAACTAACGACACTTCTGATATTATTTTTTAACCGCCTCAAAAATCCTAAAAAGCTCTAAAAATGAAAAATATAACTTAATAATTTAAAATTTGTAAAAAAAAATTAATACTTCTTATTCTAATTCAAAAATACAAGAAACGTATATGTCATAGAACGAGCATCGCTTGGCTACATTCGGAAACAATTCATTCATGGAAATGCCAGCCAAGTATATTATTATTAATAATTATGATTTTTTACTAACTTAATAGGAACGCTTGAACGGACTAACGTCTAAAAGTGTTGTCAGTACATCAGGAAACAAAATTGAATTCCGCAGAATAGGTACTAAGACACCTTAGCAAAAAAAAAAGATAAAAATATAGAGTTGATAATATGAATAATACATTTAATTTAATTTAATTGTTTACTTTTTTGCTTTGAAAACCACTATTCAACCATTTACCTCATTTAATTTATATTATAATATATTAAGATCTGTGGTTTTTAACGAACAACGAGGGATGTGTGGGGGGAGGGGGGTATTGCTCACCACTATTACTATTATAAAAACGTATATCCCACCCTATAACCAATTCCTAACTACGCCGTAAACAACGAACGATTTAAAAAATATGCATATAGATTAAATTAAACCTCAAAATATCCAAAATAAAAAATGTGTATATAGGTGTAAATACAATTTGTAGCTGCCCTAGCAATTTTTTGATCCATTCAGTAAATACATACAAATGCCATGAACTTCCGGACACTATATGGATTAGTGTGTGTGTGAATTTAAGTCGTATGTATTCGCTCGTAAGAGTCACCACAGTGACTGTAATGTGATATAATAACTAAAAACCAAGGTTTACCTTTTAAAATAGCTATATCTAAAAAGTAACAAAAAATATTTGGAAAAAATTATTTCAACCTACCTACTATAGTACTATATTACTAATATTTAAGGCCCCTGCAAACTCTATTTATTTTTCATCAAATCGACCTAAGCGACTGACAAAAATTTAAGTACTTCTAGTTTTTCGATTTAAAAAATGTAAAGATGTTTTAATTGGTCAACAAGTCTACTTTGCATCGGTCGGACCATATTTTTTATATTTTTGAAGATATTCAATACTAAAAATGTATAAATTTATAAGATGTAAAATATTTATTCACGTCAAGAATTTTTCTAAAATTGAAAAAGTGCTCCGACCGATGCAAAGTAAACTTGTTTACCAACACAAAAATCTTTGCATTTTGTAAATCGAACCACTAGAAGTACCTTAATTTTTGTCAGTGCGACGGCTATTTCACGTCCATAAATTGGTTTTGAATATTTTGATCTAGACATTGAGTGACTTGTGGGTGTGCGTGCTTGCGACCATAAATCAGATAAGAAATAACAATGTATTGTAAATTGATGCGGGTCGCGGGTGATGGTAGGGGTGTATACACACACTAATGATCATTTACTACACACACAAAGACGATCAGTAATCGCAAGAACGAAATAATTGCCTAAACACAACTCCTTAAAAATGATATATTTGCAGGGGCCTTAAAAGTAAAATAAATTATTTTAATAGCAATAACATCATAAACTATACTTAGTAATATAGGTTGAAAAAAATTCTTCTCTCAGAATCTTTTTTCGTATGCAATAATTTTATATCAATGAATTTAAATTTAACACATCCATTATAGTAATTCGTGGCAAATAATGTATAGCACAGCTAACCCACTTTCCCACTGTTTTATTTTATTTTCAAAATTTATTTTGAACTTTTTGGTAATCCCTGAAATCAATTGGTATCCCTAGATCATTCTTTTTCTCCTGGCAACTCTAATTTGACCTTGCGGTATATCGATAATTCCAAATGAATTCATACGTTTAAATGATAAAATAAAGAAAATACGTCATTCTAAAAAGGATTTTCAGAAAAAATTAATAACGTATAATAAAAAAAAAATGAATTTTTTATAAATTATTGTTATTTATTAAAAAAAAAATTGAATGAGTTATGACAATCTGTAACCATGGTAAACTTTTGAAGTTTGTTAAATACTAATAACTATTATTGCCAATATTTATTAAAATAAGACCTATCTCTAAGTGTTGATTATTTTATTCTACAGAGTATAAAATTCAATTTGTTTTATAATTTATAACAAATCAGTTATCACAATTAGGCACTATATTGACTAAAATTATATCAATAGTGGGTTTTGAAACAATACCCAACAACTGATAATATATGATACATTATATTTAAAAAAAATATTACCACATCGCTATAATACTTCTAAAATGTATCAATAACTTAAGTAAATGTAATCTTAATATAAAGTTTATACATGTTTTATTGTTTATAAAAATGTATAAACACAATAGGTACTACATATTGACTACAATTATTTAAATAACGGATTTCGAAACAATAATACATTTTTATGCACCTCCCCCTATTAATGATGTAAAAAAAAAACACGAAAATATAGCAATTAAGATGACAATTTATAAAATTTGTCATTAACTTTATTTAATACAAAAGTAATATAAAACTAAAACAATTGATATGCTTAAAAGCCCCTCCTCTCCTTATATCACACTGTTATTTTTCAATTATGGCCATATAGATACCTACAAAGTTTATTAATTTATAATTCTTATAGAACTAGGAATAATGTTTTTATGCAATTCCGGTGGTTTAACACTGTTCCTGTTTAGTTAAAATACATAGAATTTGATAAGTACATACAAATACTATGATATATTTACTAAACATAACCAGCTAACATTAGGTAAAAAACCTCTTCTTGAGATTGTCTGACGTTAGCATGCTGCAGGGCTTCTAGGATTTGTTTTTGAAATTTTGTATGTTTTTCAAAACTTCATTGATGGAAGCATACTATGAAATAAATATAAACAATAATTGTTATTTCTATGTACATATGATACTGTTATAATTATATTAATTACAACACGAAATATAATTTTAAAAACTGTTAATTTAGGTAATAAATTTAAAAAAAATGTTATTAGATAAACTATCAGTATCCCCATACAATTATCAGTTTTGCACTGTAAGTTTGTTTAGTAAAACCATTGTAAAATTCATAAAGAAATTAAAAAATTAAAAACGTAAATCAGATGTAGCATATGATTGTCTATTATAGTTATTTTAATATTTTATAAAAGTCATTTTCATTTGAATCCCTATAATAATTCATTAAAAATCAAACAATTTTTAAATTCCGGTTTGGAAATAAATACATAGGTACCCACTAACTATATCAATCTTATTTTTATATTTTACCAATTTGATACAATTTTTACTTCTACTCTTTTCTCCGTATGTTGAATTTTTCAAAAATGTTACTCTAAATTTGTTTTCACTGCGCTTTGTAGTATCGTAATCAATTCAATAAACGATCTCATCCATGTAGGTGACTGATCAAATTATAAAAATCTACGAATTTTCTTATGAACCAATCCATACTCATAAGTTTCTTCACACCTCCATATTGGATCACATATCTAGTAGGTAATGAAAAATATGCAGAAACAATTAATTAAAAATAAATAAATACAATAATGTTTTAAACTACATACTTTTTTATCTTACAATTTTGCCATTAATTTATTCAATTTTCAATCAGTCTGTATCATATTTTGAACCAAAAATGGTAAATCTTAGTGCAACTCGTTTATTTCGTTCATGTTATTGCAGTATTTTGAGTTGCTATTAATGTCAAGTGTTCTGATGAAGTCATTGATTGTATTTTCCTGTCATCCATGGTCCATTGAGATAACTGTTAAAAGAATTACACTATGTAAACTATGAATATGTAGTAATAGGTATATACCAATAAATTAACTCAATACTGAATTAGATAATTTACAGATTAATATTTAGTAAATATCCAAATATAATATTGTACCAAAACAATGGAAAACTATGTTACATATATCATAAATTAAAGGCACATGAACGTCGAAAACGTTCAAATTATTTTAACTACTTACCAACGAAAATATTATCATTAACAAAATGTGTAACGAAGTCGAAATTAATGTTGACCACGTAAATATTTTAGGGTTGGCATGAAAAAGACCATTTTTTTTTTCAGTAAAAATTACCTTATAAGAACTATTTATTTTTCCAATTTAACTTTGATTAAAAAAAAATGTAAGTATCATTAATTAGGGATTAAAATTTGACACGTTTCCATCCATCTTTATGACCACTGTACCAATGGCGTACTAATGTGGCGTAAATTATAAAATTCAACTTAACAGTATAATATTTATTTAACAACAAACAAACAATTTAACAAAGAAATTTAAGGTAAAAACCACGAACATCAACCACAATGAGAAAATGTCGAAATATCAATATCCAACATAATATCAGCATGTAGATTTGATTAGAGAGGCTGACACAATAAATTAATCATTCAAATTTAACAACAGTGATAAGTGATAAGAGAAAAATTGAGCAGCTAATACATGGAAAACAATTTGTTTTTTTATTTGGATCGGTATTTCAGAAAAAAACCCGATGAATATCCAGATAAGGTCCGGGTTTTCGCCAACCCTGAAATATTTTGCCCGGGACGACAACTTGCCGTCCAGAGCGTGTGCAATATGAGACCGCGAGCGAGACCGTGAGTAAATTGGCATCAAAGTCACTACAGTGTAACCCAAAAGGCTGCTACCATTGTTTATCGGTTCCCAAACGTCTACCGTCGAAAAAATTTTCACGAATACATAAATTCCCAAACGGCTCCAGTATTGACAACAAAAATTCTTTTTAGTGTACTTTGCATATACAATTTTTAAAAAAACAAGTACTAATAGTATGTATGTAAGGGAGAAGGAATATGTGTTATTAAAAGCGGAAGCCATTTGAAAATTTACTTTTTTGTAAAACTAGAGCCAAATGAGTTATAGCCAGTCAAGCTACCAAGCTTGCAGTAGGTACGACATACACCCACAAAGTATACACTAATGGACAGCGCTTAAAGAGAAAGAAACCAGCAGACGAGGCAACCGAGAGAGATAGAATTATGCGATTTGGATGTTCAAACGTTAAATATTTTGGATCAAAATTCACAAAGTATAATATTGGTACTTCGCATTAGATTATTTTATAAAAATGCATAGCTGTTACATAATATTTGAGCAGGAAAATTTGATTAGCACCAACTGTTACACGTCTTTGAGCTATTTTATTGGCATGAGAAATTTTTCGATATTTTTTTTTTGTTTTTTTAAATTATCATCGCTGTGTTTAAAAGCTTTTCAATAGCATTTCAACTATTTTTAAAATACATATGCACTATTTTTTTTATCAAGCATTCAAAGTTAAAATGTTGACCAAATCAAGAATATTTGCAAATTAATTTGTAGTTTAAAATTTATAAAATTTACAATTTTTATAGCTCTGAAGGTTTAATACGAGGTCCCTCATAAATAATTCATACTATAGACAATGTGAATAATCAAAAAAAATTTTAAATACTTTTTCATAGTGATTTTTAATTCAGATCTGGACGAAATAAGATATTTTAACTATGAATTACGGGTTTAGTTATATTTGAGCTGGAAAATGGTCTTCGCTCAGAATTTGCTATCGTCTGCAATGAATTATAAATATTTTATAATTTCACAAGATCATTACAGGGACCTATTCGACTTTTAATGTACAGCTGAGAGATACCTACTATACCTATCTTTTTTTATGTGTGCATAAGACACTTTTTCTTATTAGAAAAAGGCTCCGATCATAATATTTAATAGATGTTTTAGTTGTTAATCGAATCTTATTGTTACTTTTGAGAGACAAAATCGAAGATTCTCATTTTTTTTAAATCAGTAATAAAAAAAATATATATAAACGTTTGTTAAAATGTTGATATTATTATTAGATTTTTATTTAAAATCATTTTCTTTTTTTGTTCAAGTATCCAAAATTTGAACTTTAAATGATTACACACAAAATGATTACACACAAAATAATTTCAATGTAGTTTCGATGTATTTCAATTCTATAAGAACTTCTTACAATGATACTTGTATTAAATTGTCAAGCCTTTGTTGAAAGTTGAACGTTGAAAGCTGTATGCATTTTTAATTGTTTTATCAATTTTCAAATTGTAGTGATTTTGACCAATTTGTAACTATGTTTTTAATTCCTATAATCTAGACTTACAGAATATTTTGTTCTCAATTCAAAAGCTGTAAAAGCTTTATAGGTAAATAGAACTATAAATGTCATTAATTTGTTGAAGTATTTTTATTACAAAACAAACACACGTCTCGTCAATGTTAATAACCACTGCATTCGTCACTCCACTCAGACTCTAAAACAAATTATGACGCACTAAAATAACATCAGGATATTTGTAACTCACATTTAACATAAACACAATCCATCTAATAATGTTGTTCACAGACTATAAAAAATCCGCTTGTGACAGAGAACGGACCAGAATGCGAGACATGAATAAAGCTTTCGACCTGCTAAGAAACCGTTTGCCTAAGAGTAAGCCACCAGGGAAGAAACTATCTAAAATCGAGTCGTTGAGGTTAGTATAATATTATTATATTGCAATTTATAAATAATTTATAGACTTAAATACTAGAATACCTATAACTGCCGCAAAAAAAAACTAATAAGAACGTATAACTTTGTATAATATAGGTAGTGGTGTAATATTCGGCCCAGGTGCAAAAAACCAAAAAAACATATTCCGATATAAAAATATGTGTGCACTTACAAATGTTTGAAAAAATGTTTTTACACAACTATTCACGTTAAACGGCCAACTTCATGGACTTAATATTTAATTCGATTTTTTTTTCGGGACCCCCTCCCCCCTTTTCAAAATTTCTGTCCACGCAACTGGTGTACTTAATCGCCCGATGACTTATTATATTATAGTAAAAAATAAAAATACTCTACGATGTAATCATTTGTGTGCTGCAGGATGGCCATACGGTACATTCGACATTTACAAGCGATCTTGGAGTATGGGCCAGAATACGAGACAAAACTCTACACTGCACCATCGTGTACCCAATACCTACCGCCGCCGACGTACTACGGTTACCAGCCCCAATATGGTCAATGTTGGAACGCTGCAGGTGATTATCCTCCGAACGTAAACAACCAATATTAGTTATTAACAAAAACGTTCCAGAGCGTTATGCTTACAATCTTACATAATAATTTTAACAAACCTATACAATAATATCATATAGGTATGTATTATTATGTATTAATAAATATATAGAATTTATATGAATACTGAACAGATTGTACAATGTGTATAATAATAATGTTGTATTCTTTGCGGTTTGATTTACCTCGTTGATTTTTTTCCTATTTCTTAATAATTTTTTACTTTATTATTTTTAGACTTCTTAATAATTAAATAATTATATTATACCCAGTAAAAATACTAAAGTACCTATTGATCGAAATCAAAATTGTATTAACTTGTAGTTATTTATATATAATTTTAAGTAGATATGTTTGTTTCAATAAATATGATGTATTTTAGAGAAAAATATTGTTTTGTTAATTAAATAAGTATATTTGTCCGTATGGTATAAATAATATATATCTATACTCCATAGCATGTAGTTATCAACTGACCAGTATTCATTTATTATTAACGCAATAAAAAAAAACGATTTAATACTCGTAAAAGCCAAAATTGGAACTACTGGACGTACATTTTATGGTATATTATGCCTGTATACAAAGGAGAGACCATGTGCGGTCATTACATTCTCTTAAGTCTTAAAATCTTCTGCTCCTGGCTCCCCAGTCCCCATACCTATACATGTATATAATACCTATGTATGCTACTATTATTTGATGTGGACGATTATTTTTATAAAAATTATGATTTTAGATTCTAAGTGGAGTGATCTTAATTATATATAAACACAGTTTTCTTGTCTAGTTATTTTAAGTTTAAATTTGGACAAAATTACATATTATATAACCAAGAATAAAGATTTTAACTCTATATTGTCGGAATTTAAAAATATTATTTGAAGGTACTTGAAACTTCTAAAGTATTTTATTAAATACAAATACTAAACAAATATGATAATAAGCAAATAATATTAATTCAACCTACAATATAACTGTTCAGCAGAGCTTCACCCACTTAGTTACCCGTTTTTTATTTTTAAAATAATATATGGTTAATTTTATACTGCTACTAGATTTTCTCACTGGCTGAATTCACACTAACTCAGTTTTTTTTCCTGACAGAATTTACACAAAAAAAGATACATTTGCCATTTTAGGTATATGTCATGTTTTTGTATCAGAATGTTCTGCACGTAGGCAACCCATATTATATTTTATACGACAATCGCATTGCAACACAATTCATGGAGACAATTCGTCTGAGGCGCATCCCGCCGACAACAAACCCACCAACGAAAGGTATATAGAACATAATATACATTTACGAGTGGAAAACATGAATATATGTGTGCGGGGAAAATATACAATACAATATAATATTTGGTAGTTGTCATATTATATATTATATTATTATAATATATAAGGTCACAGGAAATACGATAGTGTCGGTGTTTGGGTGGATGAATTCGATGGTAGTTGGAAAAAAAATCCCAAGTAGTATTATCCTGGGGGATTGACTAAATAAAAATAGTTTATTTTATAAATGATGTAAAAGAAATGAAATAAATATTGTATACTATGTTAAAAATTGTCATTTCATAAAAAATTTCCTATACCCTAAAAATACGATACCCAAGCTTATAATAATAATAACAATAATAATAATAAATAGTATCTCAAACAAGTAACAACTAATAATAGTAATCAAAATAATATTTGAAGAAAAATATAGTTCAGATTATTCCAATGCGATAAGAATAGTCTAAAAATTAAACGAAAGCTGAGCGACCATCGCATGTAGCCTGTAACAGTGTAACGTGGGTCAAGTACACCGTGTACTGTGTGATGCGGCGGTCAGAGGCGCTCACAAATGTGTGTTATATCACTTATATCATATTATTATGATTATATTGAGATAGGCTTCGGCGGGACTACAATATTATTTTAGTGCGATATCGTTAGTAGCACATGTCCGACGGCTACCTGTGTCATATTGTGCAGCGCGAAGAGCATAAGCGCAATTTGTGGACATCAACGACGGGTTCACCTCGGGTCGCGGTGGCGCTTCGAGACTAAACAATAATAATTGTATCCAAGCCTGGGCATAAACGAGTTAAAAAGTTTAATTGAAGTTAACTTGAACTTTTTAACTTTACTTTTTTCAATTTAATTTTCACTAGTATCATTTTTAATTTAACAGATTTTTATTGATATAAACTTAATCAAATCCAATTTCGTTCTTTTATAAATAATTAAATAATTAATATAATACAATTATTATTGATGATATACATTGCATAAACATTTATTTTTTATTGTTTTAAACCATATAACTAGCTGCTTGTGTATTAAAAAAAAAAAAATAACTTAACTTAACTTAAATCAATAAGTTTTCAAAAAACTTTTAACGTAACTGAATTAAAAAAAAATTTGATAACTATTAACTTTTAACTTTTGAAAATATTTTCTATCAACTTAACTCGGTTAAAAATTATCATTAACTTCCCCAGGCTTGTTATAATTATAGTGCGACATTTTCGCCGGCGACCTGCGATTTTGTATTTACAGGTCGTCGAGTTCGATACTTACCTCTAATAATAGCTAAAGAAATTCTGACCGACAGCTATGATTGTGAAGAACTTGTTATCTGTATTAATAAAATAAAAATGTAATGCATTATTATTACTTAATTTTTATGATATTATTATCTTGTAAATAAATATATAGTTTTATGAGTAATTTAAGTATTATTATTGGTCCGTGCCTCAGTGGCGTTGAAGTCAAATTATACAGGTATGGTCAATCATAGATTTAGTATTCATCTAAGATCGGTGTGGGTGTGGGGCTACTGCCCCTTGAAAAAAATTTCTCGCGCTACCATATCAATATACCACGAGCCGCCACTGATGTCACTAACGTTACCCAATTTAGCTACTCAATTATTGTACTCTGCCATGAACTCCGCCAATCGACCGGACGGCCCTGGTTTACACCAATTTTTTTTTTACCATTTTGATTTTTTGATTTTTAAAAATAACTCTTGAAACTTGCACAGCCTGCGGGTAAAAAGGTTAAGTGTTTATAATAATCTAATATAAAATCTGAACGAATCAGGATTTGTTGATTGTAAATAACTATATTAGTCGGGTTGATAGAATATGAGAAAACACTGAATATTATAAATGCACTCGAAATTGTGGTGGCCATGATATATTAAATTAAATTAAAATGATTTAGTATTATCGAAGAACCTCAATCGCCTAATACATGGAGTTGAATTTGCTAATCGTTGCTCATGAAGTCACGAAATAAGTAAGTAAAAAATGTATAAATTGTAGTAAATAATAGTGCTAATGTGGTGTATATTTATTATTTTATAATATAAGTCGTTAAAAACTACATAATTAGTAATTACCTACTAGCTGCAGAAGCGGGAATTTTTATTAAATTCAAAGAAATCAGTATTAAAGATCATAACTCAAAGTCGTGTCTATATACAGGGTGATTCACTTAGCATGCTCACCACTGGTTTTTCCTTTAATAATGACCTTATTCAAATCATGATTTTTGGAATTTTTAAATGTAGTCCAAGACTACAGCACGGGCCGGCTGCGTATGATAATAATACCCGTGTGCCGATTGCCTAATACTACGTACGACTCTACGCACTACATCGACCGACCTGTGTAATGTGTGTATTATGTATAGCGATTTTAAAGAAGTGGACGGGGTCGTCGAGGAAGACTAGAGCTAGTATGCGGTGGGTGTGTGGGTGTGTATATCTGCAGTATATGTACCTATTATAGGTGTGAGCTTAAAATCTAAAACAATAATAACACGGTTTCTGGTAACTTTGAGTTGCTGCATAATATAAGGTTGAATAAAACTTGATAAAACAGAATATAATAAATCATAGAAACGAAAAGGTATACAAATACAATATAAGAAATCACAGCCCCAATGGCTAAACAGCGTTAATGATAATATTATGACCCTACTGGCCCAACAGGAAATTAATAATATAATATGGTAAGACTCTTCTAATCCCAACAACTCACAATAATAAATATTATAACAAAAACAAATAAAACTCGCAGTACGTCGGTGCTCTGCTGACCAGCTACCTATTGCTACAATGAATAATAATTGACACACCACGATGTATAATAATAATTAATAATGTAAAAAATGATTTGCGTCTGGCAATTAATGCAAAAAGAAAACACTGGCGATTAGAGTCTACGATATTATGATAATTTAATAACGAGTAATGTGAACGCTGATTTGCGGCTATAGATGGATATTGTTTTACAACGACGTTCGCGGCGATGTTTAGCGCCCACACGGAAACAATATGTCAATACCAATTTTAATTTTTAATAATATGGCGATTCACACAGTAAAATAAATTATAAAGACAACGGAAATTTACGCACGTGAAAAATTACAGTATAATAATAATAAATATAAATGATCGGCGATCGGGCCTGGCAGTTATATACAAAAAATCCAACTGAAGTTCTGTTTACGAATTATTTTCTTTTCATGTGACTCATGTTTTTGTATATACTTTTCTCTCTGTTATCCTTATTATTTATTGTTTTTATTTTATAAACAGATGGAATATGTGTATTTGAATAAAAAAAGGAACATGTACAGGTACCTAGGTACAATATTTTAAGTTGATTTACTCGTTGCATTTACATCGTAAATTAATAAATAGGAAGTAGATACAACTTCATACATACAGTCAATAGACTGTAACTACATAAACTAATTTTATTGATTTTCAGTACTTATTTACAATAAATAAAATAATAACATGTTTAAGTGTCTAAACATAAGTTTACAACATACCTTATATCCCCGCTGTGTCTGCCCGTTATAGACATAGTACCTATACATAGTAAAAACCGAGAACTTAACAGGATTGCTGAGCTAGATTTCCAATTTGTTTTTGTTCAGAAAAGTAGGAACCTAACATAACCATAAATAAAATATTATAAATTTATTATAATATATTAATATTATGCATATTCAAGTTCTACAGAAATGTATTAGGTATCTCTTT